TACCTCTTTTATATTGGTGGTCTGTGGGGAAAATACTAATGTGGCCACACTATATATTTTTTGCTACAACACTGCGAGTGGCTACTGGGAAAAACTGGCTGCAAGGCTGAGCTACATTCCTGGGGGCCTGGTAGCACCCTTCAGCTGGGACACACGTTGCATCACTGGTGCAGGTCATCCTTACTTGCTGTTTTGGCAGAGGAGTGGAGTCTGGGATTACTTATATGGATAGACGAGGAGTAAACAGAGTAAAACTTTTAGCTTATCACCTAAGGCGAAGCTAATATCATCAACCAGCGTAACATTATTGATTCTGTTGATTCCAAAATTCTACCAAAGAACCAGCAAGATCTTGGCAGAGTCTCCAAGTCAATGATAAGTCTATTATGTACACAGAGAAGAGGATTGGCACACGAATGCAAGAATATAAATGGCACCACTAGCTATCTAAGACGACATGCACAGGAAAACAGGGACATGTCCAAGTGGCACGTAACCTTGAAAAATCCTCTGATAGTGAGTCATGCCCTCTGTTTATTTTACCGACGCTTTGTGATGTTGAAGGTGCCTACATTTGACTCGGCTTTTAGCTGGGCATGATGTTCATCATGATATAAGGTGGTGTGTGCACCTCATAGCTAGGTTAGGCTAATGTTAGATGTGTTAGCTGCAACATGATTTGTTAATATGACGTTATAACAACTTGCATTATTGTTGTGGTTGGACAACTTGATGGAGACAGTGGTAGAGCATATATTTCGTGTGGAGAACATTTTTGTGTGGTTTGTCAGTTAAGCAGCACCCTTCCACTGAATGTAACGGTAGTCATACACTACCCAATGCGCTGTCTTTAAAGTGCAGGCATCCTTTCAGTTTGGCTGCTGTGGTCCGACTCAATAGGAACAGTCTTACTACTGTATTTGGTTGTACTGGCTCAAAAAGCACTGTAATTGGGTTTTTGGCTTTATCCGTATTTTGTTGTATGACATCAAAACTCTCAAACTCCATTGTAGCAACACTTAACTAGTCTGAAGTACAGTGTTGTGCGCAGCATTCCTAGTAATCAACCATTTCTGCGATGTCAGCGTCTAGCTTGTTGAAAAATAGCTGCGCCTTGCTGGCAAAAAATTAAATAGCCTACTATACTACTACTATACAGTTTTCTTGCAACTCTAGGTGAATATCAAGTTTGATTGTAGTGCCATATCTTGCGTCAGGTGAAAATCAAGCAAACCACAGTCATACTATTCACTGTTTCACTTCCACTTTGACTCCCCCAAACTTGTGTGACTACAATCTGCCCTCACGTTACATGGTGTTCCTAAATGTGTCAGTGTAATGTTGTGGGGATTCGTCTCTGATGTTTGGGGTGCATCCAAGTGTACATGCAAAGTATTAGTGCGTACTATTATGATACAAAGAGGAAGTGAGTACAATCAGCTACTTCATCTAAAAGAAGAATAGATAATGTGCTCATGACACCATGTTTGAATCTGGCTCATGATTTAGGCTTTACATTAAGTGTGAAATGCCGAATTCATGCAAAAAAAAGAGAAGTATATTTGAGCTGTTTTTCAGTTTTGTATTAAGTTTGAAATCCCCAGTTGCAATGTCACCATCCTGGTGTCTTTCTGAACATTTATTTCAGCATCTTTTCTGCCATGTTCCTGTGATTAGAAAGCAAGAACAACTGCCCTCAAATGTAGAATTATATACATTATGTGGGACCTAGTTTCAGTTTCACCCAGATTTAGCTCGGCTCAGGAGGCGCTCTCTAAGTGTACCTTGGCTCAGATTTGGTCTGTGTATACTGTACGCAAAACCTAGCATATCATTACAGCTGAAAGAACATGGGGACAGTGGCTGACCAGTAATTTGGCTTCCCTAAATGTTGTCACTAGTCATTCCAAAGTTCCTTCACATACCCACAGTCTGGACCTTACAGAGGCAACAAGCTGTACAATATAGCAGGCAGTTTGCCTGCATATGCCATAAAAAGCCATAGAGACATGGCTGTATTCAAAGTGGATACAAATTTGGCCAAAATCCCAGCTTTCCATATTGACTGTCACTCAACAGACATGACACTTTGATCGGACAAGCAAGTAAACATGGAAATGTTGTCTTTAATTTATGGCAATGAACACTAAAGGCTGGCAACATTATATCATGTAACTTAACTTCTTAACTTAACTTAAATTGTCTAAGTGCAGTTCAAAAAATTAAGGCACCTTAATTTTTGAATCTATCTTTTCTTCAGATACAAAGTCCAGCAAAATGCACGACTCCAAGTACTCATTACTATTCCATAAGTTAAAAAAAGGGATTTCTAAAAAAAAAAAAAAAACATCAAATTTTTTAAGCAAACAGCAAATAATGTGCAATGAAACCCTGCAATTTTTAAGTTGTGGGCTTGGAACTGATCAGTGCTATAATCTATGATAGTTCTATTTTGCAAGTTCAGAGGGGAGATTTTAGTATTAATTTCTATCTACCTATAGAAAAAGAAATAACAGTAAGTGAGCAGCACACACATCTGACATCTTGCTCTGCTGTTTGGTATTTGCCCTGTCTAGAGAGTGCACAAGCTCAATAAAGCTCTGTCTTCCTCAGGTGTGTTATTCTGTGTGCATGAACACGATGTGTGGGGTATTTCTACCATGCAGAATCCACCAAAGAGCTGCTGGCAAGTGACTTCAAACATGGCTTGTTTATTTGGCACACAGCAATAACATTCACCTGGTGAAAATTGACGTTTGTGAAGCAGAAATTAAGAGGAATTTGACCCTCGGTATAAAGGTGTCTTTCTGCAGCGCTTACCCTCACACGCTGGAGGGGAGGGAGTGGGGTGAGAAACACGAGGGAGGGAGAGTAAGAGCCAGAAGGAGACTGGGGATAGAGGAGGGCAGGAAAGACATGGAGGAAAAGATCAAAAGGTTAACAGACAGGATGGAGGGAGTCAGAATGAGAGAGAGGAGGATAGAAAGCAGAAGGAAGAGGGAAATACAAGATGGTGAGACAAAATTGTGATGAGGAGGGAAATGTGAGGCAGGAAAAGAAAGATGTAGAGGTGGAAAGACAGGGAATGGAGAGGGGACGGCAAGATGGCAAGATGCTAAAGGGCCTGAGAAAGGTTAAGAAGCATGATGGAATATGGTTCAAAGAGGGCACTCATACAAACCACTAGGTGTCTAAAATTATAAACTATAATTAACTGGTTTTATTTTAAATCGTGAATGTAATGCCATGCCATTAAATAAAAGGAAAAATGGTATCTTTCAGCTGGTGGAAATATTATTTTGGAATCCAACACTTAACACATTGTGAACTATTTTTCTGTATCAAAATGGCCAACTTACTGTCTGGTTATGTGCTTTTCTCTAAATATGATGCTGCTGACATGGCTTCAGTGTGCTTCATGGCTCTGAACAGAACACTCATTGTGCCTGCTCCCTCTGCTGGCAGCTGCTGGTGCTACAGGAGCAGCTTCCACTGTGGCACACTTGGCTCAGACATCTGCAACATGGAAAGTGATGCTTAACCTCCATCTCATTTGTGTTACTCTACTTATTCAATTCAGGGTAACCAAACTCATGTTTTATAGCATATTAATCATCACTCTGCCCTAGAGCAATGGAGAGTTTAGCTAAATATATCTTGTTAGTGAACAATTCTAGAAATAAACAGTAATAAAAGAGGCCAAAGGTCTTTGAGGGATCTATAACGACACCAATCACACATCAAGCAAAGAGGAAAACATGGTAAAACTGTAAATGCTACTATGTCTACATGGATTTCCATCATCCAACCCTGGTTTGTACCAAAACTAGATTAAAGATTGAAATCATACAAGGGTTTTTTTAAGGGGTGAAATGTTAAGGTAAACTGACAGTGAATCGCCATTTAGCCTTTTTAAACATAATCACTTTTGTGGCTTGAAACAGTTCAAGAAAAGCTATTGTACAATAAAAGCCACTCAGACCCCATTGGTGTACATTTCTTATTATGTTTAGTAAAACGTGTATTAACACAGTAAGAATCTGCCTAATTCCATGTAACTACTGGATGCAACTGCTGGTAAATCCTTCAAATATCCTGGGTTAGCAGAACTTTAAAAACTGGTCTAAAAGGTTTTAAAGGTGACCTAAAATTAACTTCAATGTACAGAACATACTGTTCTTTTGATTACTTAGTTTTGTGCATCATCTCAAGCCTTGCACAATGAGCTAAGCTGTTCAAGAACTTTACAGTGTATCGCCTGTGGGCTGGGACAAAGAAGACCTACTCAGATTGTGCCCTGGATGGACTGTCAAAAATGAGGGAGGAGACAGAGTAAAGGAGGTGGGAGGAGCGATGGAGAAATAGAGTAAGAGAGCTAACTACATGGCCACACAGATTCAAATTTATACCCACATTCCTGTCTTTCTTATATCCAAATATATGGCAGAGGGAAATACAGGCACCAGTGCAGGGTGAAATTTACCTATAAAAATGTTCTGATCTCAGTTCTGCTGCTTCCTTATTGGCCAAGGTGCATCACGTAGGCGGGGAGATAACGCAGGACAATTTCACCACCCAGCAGCTCCAATCTTGGGTGGAGGTGGAGCAACAGGAGACCACAGTTGAATAAACTTAAACAGGGACAAGAGGTCAGTACTCCCTCTAGAGGTTGGAAGGCGGGAGTGCGGTGCAAATGGTCACCCGGGGCCCTGCGGTCCTGCTGGACTGAAGAGCTCACCATCATCTCTCCAGGACACAGTGGGAGCCAAGTTTGGTTGTTCCATATCATGGACAGTGAGTGGGTGTTTTATGTGGAGCCTAAATAAAATGAGTGCACTGTGATAGTCAACCCACACCGTGTGTTTTAAGCATGTAACTACTGTAATTAAAAGTATTTTTTCTTGGAATATCTGAAATTATCTGAAGCAACTTTAATTGTTTAGTTTAGCAGAGTTTTAAATGTTCTTTTTGTTTTTTAAATAAATGAAAAACACGCCAAGTACAGTATTAAAACCTTTACTCGGACATGATACAACAAACAGAAACAAGGTTCAGAATTAATGACTGAAAAAATTATTCATATTTTTTTTTTCTTCTTTCAATCCCCGAAGCACACAATAGTCAATCAGCTCCATGTGTACGATGGAGTAGGATACAAACAGGACAAAGAACAGACACAAGAGAAAGAGAGAAAAAATTAAAAATAAGAGTGACAGATTCCATTCTGATTTTACAGTTCTTGTATTTGTTTAATACTTTGTAATAAACAAAAGATGAATAGCATAGTCAGAGAAGAGGGAGACAGGAAACAAGACAAAGAAAACAGTGTGTGAATTTCTGTATAATGAAGAGTAAACAATTAAGGAAGATTCTAGATCTACCGGAAAATAGGTTTTCTGTTTTTATTCTTGATCGACATACTAACACCTGATCCGAGTTCTTTAAGTCCCTGTCCTTCTTTTCTTCCCTCTTTCTCTCTCCCTTCACAATTCCTCCAACCGTAAACACCAACAACAACATCCTTAAAGAGAGCAATTGTATTCAGTTGATCCCTCCCATCAAGTTCATTCAGTGTAACCAGGTCCTGCTCAGAGGTGTCTCCTGCAAACCAGGTGTGTGGATACTATCGGCCTTTGCACTGTGTCTACAATTAGAGCCACCATTTCTCCCTCATAACCTAAAACAGATTCTGAAGGCTTTGTTTTTTATTGCTGGTAGGATCCAGCTACAGCAACATATGACTCAGTAAACACACAACAGGTTGCAGTGGACCTGGTTGCAGAAAACAACCAAACAAATGCAACTGAAAAAGAGCAGGTCTGTTAACTCATTCCTTATTCGCATTTCACTCGTATATGCATTTCACTGTGTCTTGGAAACCAAAGCAGACATGTTAAGGGTCAGGGGGACCCTATAAAAAAGCACCAATGCACAGCTTGAGCACCAAGAGGGGGCCACACACTGGTCTACTTCTCTCTCCAGTGACCAGTCCTCCCCTCTCCACACGAGCTGTCATTCCATTCCTATAAGGGCCCCTCTTTAGTATGCACTACACAGGCCAAGGTTGGAGCACACTCTTTAGTGTGCTGCACAATAATCACAACATACATGACAAACAAGCGCTGGGGACTGAGTGGCCCTGCATTTAAAAACAGCCACATCCGCAAACAACTTGGCAGTGATAAATAAACCAGTGAGGGTGGTGGTTTCAAGGCTGCATAGCACACACTGCCTCATTGATCCTAATGGGATGGGCCTTGGCTCCAGGGGGGCCTGTGTCAATAGGTAAAAACACCGCCCTGATATCTAATCTATACACGATGATCAATTCTTCAGTCACAGCCTGCGATCCATTTCAAAAAAATGTCTTTATTTTCAAAAAGCGAGTCATTTTCAAAATGTAACAAAGGTGGCGACAACAATACTGCTACACAGTCAAAAGGTCACAGCATGCGTCTGCCTTGAGTGCACACGGTTGCAACGACAAACATTTGTGGGCGGTGCGGTGCGATCCGGCGGTCTCCCATGGCGGCCGTGGATCGCTGCTGCTCTGCCGTCAAGTAAAGTAAGCAAAGAGGGACACACTGCGCTGAACCCCTTCCTTACAGCTCTCCAATGCTTGTCCCACGAAAAGCTTCACATCCTTTTCAAACAGTCCAAGAATCATAGGTTTATTTTACAAGTCTACTCCAACGCAAAGCCCAGTCAATTTCAGCCCACGTGGGTGAGTGAATAAGCATTTGTTAAGTTTAAAGTAAAGCAGTGGAGATGGGGCAAAGTGGAGAAAGCGAGGAGGCTGGGTTGCGTTGATAAAGCATCACATCAACACGCCAGTGAATCACCCCTCCAACTTGGCCCCTTTTCCTCTGTGCATCCTTTGATTATTTTGCTCAACAAACCAATTTAACAGTGCTCAGCACATCACCGCCAAAGCTATAGTATCTGCCAGTCAAAAGGCATAGCTGCAGACAGATTCATTACACATGTGCATAAAAGCATACACATGTGGCCACACATACCCTAAAACAAATGCTAAAAAACTGAAATACCCAACCACCAGCTCGTGCCAACTGATCAACAAAGCATAAAGTGGCTTAGCACACAGAACCTGCGCTGACTGTATAGCTTTTTTTGTTTTTAATGTGTTCACTGTATCTATTTATCATCCACTAAATGACCTAAGCTCATAGCAAAATGTTAAAAAAACAAAATGGCAAAACTTAAACGCATTGCTGTTACATGGAGGATGGGAATTCTAAATAATTTCACTGCCAATTAATATTACCTCCTGTAACAGACTAAGCTAAGATGTGCAAATGCCAGAAATGTAATGCACATGTTGCATGACAACTGTTTGCCACAATATGAATATACACGTTGTATATTTTGCCTTTTGGATGACTCATCAACCAAGATTGGCATTTGCTCAGTCAGATGACTCGTGCTGTTTAATGTGGATCAAAGCAGTGAACGCTCCAGCACTTGACTGTGTAATTGTATAATCATTCCCATCCCCCGCTACCTATAAGCATGATGCAGTAGCAGCAGGCTTGACCATTCAACAGAGGAAGCTCCAAAAATAAAATCCTGCAGAGATAGTTGCTAAGATGTTGACCTAACGGAGATGAGCACACACCCAAATCTCAAAGTCTGGTGACCACAAAATCCCAGATCGCTAGTTTAAGCTCATCTGAACCAACTCAAGATGCTAAAGCACTGGGAACATACTGCATTATATACAGTACAAGCATGTGGGCAGATGTTGGTGCTTGCCACCAACTTGCTTTTCCTTGCAACACCAACATGAGGCAGCATTGGTGCACGCAGGGCTGACTTTTCTCTGCATGGAGGAAATGAATGGACATCTGGAGACTACTTTATTGAGTTGGCCATACGTACGCATGGATGGAGGAAAAACTAACACAAAACCAAACTCTATGGTTAGACCAACTTACTGACATGTTAAACAAAACCACCTGTCATACAGGTCATCTAACTGTCAGCCTCCAAGTCCACATCACATGGGGAGGAGACCATGGATCCTCTCTGAGAAGTATTTGGACTATCCACAGGGCAGGAAGCTCATTGCTCATTCTGGTCAAAGTAGCTGGTGGACCCTAAAATTCACTAGCTGCTTTCATTGCTTCTACCAGCCTAACCGCTTTCTAAAATACAAAAGACACTAGCTGTGTGTAAGTACAAAGACTTATCAGCCACAGCCAAGCACTTAGCTGGTGTTCATTTTCCATAGTTGGGAGTCTACAATAAAGTTAGGGGTCATTCAGTAAGAAAAAGGAAAACAAAAATCAAAGAGGGAAACCCACATCTTATGCAGACCTGTTCAATGAGTGGAGAATGATTTGTCTGTGTACTTGCATACTGTGTTTGCATTGATGTACATGTGCAAGTCTTAAACTGAAAGACCATATTAGTTATTTAGCACCTGGTAGAGGACAGCTGTACCTCTTCCCTGTAGAATGATACTGCAAAATGTACGTTTCTAATTGCTATTAAATGTGGTGACTAATTAGAAGGCTAAATATACCTCAGAACGTCAACACTCCTTTTAAATACTAACAAAAATGGTAATAAATCTTTGTGTACCCCAGTACTGCTCACCTTTGAGCATGTGTAGACGGTTTAATTCATAGTTTACTATATATCTCCTGATCATGTGGTAGCTGCATTTGACTTTTCACTGCAATGCTCAGGTTCAGTCGCCTACAATTTTCAATCACAGTAAATGTCAAGTGCCAATCAGTCAATGAAATCCGGCCAATCAGTTACTGAGAACAACAGGAGACACTGGCAGAAAATGGTGCAAAAGCAGCAGTGAGGTGTGGTTTGGCCCTGGGCTCAATAACAATTTCATGGTGATGTCCTTACACCAAAGGCGAGTCTAATGTTGATTCGACAGCAAAAAATAGAGCTTTATAATTTGTTTGTTGGAGCCACATATTTCACATTCACATGAATGTGAACATGCCTTTGTTTCTACATGACTCCTGTGTTTTTTCTTTTGTATTATTTACATCCACTGTACAAAATTCGCAAGCATTGAGCCAATACACACGAAATAAAGTTTTCGAAGCTGCAGGTAGTAGGTGTAGGATTTCCATAATATGACACTAATTTCATTATTGCATTACAGTAACACGACACAAGTAATTCAAACACTGGTGCATTGTTAGCCAATCTATATTCGCAGCCAGTGATCCATCCACGAGTGGTGGGCTAGAAAGGTTTGGCCGATAAGCCAAATTTGATGACCAGGTGAAATGAAATGTTGCATTATTGCCACTGTCACTTCAGCTCAGCTTTGCGTCTTATATCTCTGCTGCTGCTTCTTTTTGTGTTGCACAAAAATTCAGATTTCCGCAGCTCATTTTACAGAGAGGACAGTGTGGCATCTCCAATACAAAGCAATGCCTCACACAATTCAGACAGCAACTGGCAAATTATACACAGAATTATTCAAAGAGTACAGAAACTATTTTTTCTCTTCCATGGCCAATGGACAGTTAATTCAAAGATTTCAAGAGTAACCCGTCAAGAATAATGACTTTCAGCTGGACTGGGTATTAGGACAGTCTGACATAATTGCCACCAGCCATTATTTTTAACCATCCTACTGGTGGTTAGTGTTAAGTCCAAAACCTGGTTAGCATCTGTACAGGAAGGAGCCAATTATTTATAATGTTCCATAACAAATCACTACATCTGACAAAGATGCAATAACAAGAAAACCCTACACATAGTACCTTCAAGGTCATCTTAGGTGTCTGAGAATAGATGGTCATTTCTAGGAAACAGGAACATTTACACAGTTACAACTCACAAAAGTGCATAAATGACCACCAGCAAAGGGAGGATTTGGGGGAATGGGAGATAAAAGACAAACAATTATGATTTTGTCTTGCAGGAAGCTGTACTTCCTGCGAGCCTTAAGCTGTTTAGAATGCCAACTAACTGCCAAAATAGAGAAAAAGGATGAAATCAAAACTAGGAAAAAAAAAATTCAAGTCATTCTTCTTGTCTTACAAAGCCTGCTGTGCGCATCAGGGTGGGAGGGACAAAGTCTGTCTGTTCAACAAAGTGCTCCCACTCCCCTTTTCCTGGATTTCAATGCCTTGGAAAAAGCTCTCATTTCATGAGTACAGTACTTCAAAATAGAAACTCAAACAAGTTTCAGCATGAATATTAAAAAAAAGCATAAAATATTTAAATGTTTATGAGATCAGATGAACTCACTGGGAGGGTGTGCCTGCCTGTTCATTATAGGACACCTCCTGACCAATACGAAGTGAATTAGTTTTATGGTTCAAAGTTGATTGAAATGCTCCGCACCTGATTTTAAGCTAAAACCATACATGAATAACTAACCGGCTAGTGATGGATATAATATACAGAGGTGCAGCTAGCAGTGTAACTAAGTAACCCAAGTAAAAACAGGGGAAGTATACCAGTTACGCGGAAGCAAAAACCCACTGTGAGATGAAGATATGAAAACTGAAGGCTAACTTAAAATTAAGACATTTACTGAATATGTGTGATAAAAAGGGGATATATTCTTTGAGTTGTAACCCCTATGGTGGAAAACTGAGAATGGGAAAAGATGGTGAAAATCTATGTGTGTTAGCATACTCTTCATTCAGAGCCATATTATCTGTGTATTAGTTGTGTTGTTTGTCAATTATCGTATTTAAGTTAAGATCTGCATGTGTGAAGATAATTAGCCAGTGATAGGGAATATTTGAGGTTTTTTTTTTGTGTGTGTGTACAAGTGTGAGAGCCGGTACATTAAAACCAGCAGGTGCTGCAGTTAAGTGAGGCCCAATGAGAGGAGCCAGCGACCCAACTTGGGGTGACGTGTTGGTAATCCTGGTGTGCATCGAATCCTGACTGGACCGAACCTGGCTCCTCTAGGTGAGCTGGTGAGGCGCCTCCAGCATCTCCATCAGGAAGGTGTCGATGGGCGTGTCACCAATCAGTTTAAAGAAGAACAGGTGCTCCAGGCACTTAAGACCAATGGAGCGCAGTGCTGGGAGCCGGAGGAGGAGCTTTGCAAACCTGGATGATGTAGGGAAGGGTAAGATAGAGAGTAAAGTGAGATATTAGCATAGATCCATCAATCATGTAAACTGAAAACAAGAATTCAGAAGATGTGTGGAGTGTCATTTTATGAAGATTTCTTTTGATAAGACAAAAGAAACAAGTCTTAGCAGCAGTGCCACCCATCAAAACCAACAACTTTACCTCTTACTTTTTAAGGGATACTTTGCTGATTTTCAACCAGCTTTGTATCATAACAATGTGGACAGCATGTGTAAATTAAATATGTTAAACTTGTTTCCATCTTGTCAGTGCCCAGATCTCCAATTATCGCTGGCTCTAGAGTTGCTCAAACTACAGACTTCCTTCTGCATTAGGACACAAAGAGTATAGAAGCAGATCAGAAGAACCACCGCTCACTCTCTCTCTCTCTCTCTCTCTCTCTCTCTCAAACTCAGATCAAACAGTACAATTAGGCAGTACTAATCAAATATAAACCAGTTTCTTTTACTGCCTGCCTACTTCTCACCTACAATTTCTTCAAAAACATATGTTAGTACACTGTTTACACTGTTTTGAACACGAAGTGGGCATCATACTGTTTTCTTTCAAATAAAAACAAGCTATTTGTCCAATGCAGCGCAGTGCATCCTGGTAGTTGCAGGTTTTCTACCTCTTGGGCAAAACTGAATGCCACAGCCCTTTTTCTCTGACCATGTAGCACCATTCTTAAGAAATCTTTCCAGTAATGAAAGACTTCTTTGGGTATGTCTATGCGTGCAGCCTACCTGCCCTGCTGATCAGGGTATTTCTGTTTGCAATAAGACTCCAGCGATGCGTACACCCTCTCTCTCAGGAGCTCCACCTCACTGGGGTTAGACAAACCCTTGGCATCTTCAGGTGAAAACAGAAAACATATATATTATCGCTATACGGGAATAAAAACACATATTACACATAACCCATTTCAGACATGGATTTGTCCAGTTTTGTCTGGGGTCTTTTATGGTATGCTCCTCATGGTATTCAACCTTTCACCCCTCTGTATACCTGGGTTGAAGAGGATGATGGCTCGAAGGCAGCCCAGCTCTGTCTTGTCCATTTGCATGTCTCTCATCTTGCTTACAAGCTCTGTCAAAACCCTGCAGAAAAGAGAGGAGAAGAAAGTTGCAGGGGGAAATCCCAGTTGAAAGCAATGCCAGGTTAGGGAAGAGCGAGGAGGCAAGGGAAAGGATGGGAGAACAGGAGGATAAGGAAAAGAGAGCGAGAAAGCAATTAATCAAGAGGAAGAAAAGGAGGGAATAAGAGAGTAAGAACAATAGAGAGGGACCAGACTCCGTAATCACATTGTTATTTAAGGTTACTTCTCAATGTACAGAAATAGCTTTAGGTCTAACAACTCAAGGCATGGCTGAACTGCTGGTTCTGCAGGGAAACAACCCGAAAACAAACAAACAAAGGGTGGCAAACTGCTGCCACCAAACGGTGGAAAGTTCTGGCTGTTGCTGATTCTTTTTTCTTATTAATTCAAGGGTTGCTTGTCTTTGTTGCACTTATGGTTACATGTGCTAGCAAATGTGTGTAAGTTGCTGTGAAAGAGTCAAATGATGAAATCTTCTACAGCTGGAGAGTAAAAACTTTATAGTTTCCTATTAACTTTCAGAAGTTCACTTTTTCCACACAGTTTATCTAACTTAGTATAATTTTCTACCTTTCCCTCAACCGATGACTCCAAGAAAGAAGGAGCATATGGCAGTCAGGGTTCAGTGGCTGAACACAATTTTTATTTTACAAGAATGTTCTAATTTACAAAAGGGAATAAAGACACCATTATCATTGTTTTTTTTCAATATCTTGATTGATATAAGGATTCAAAACTGGCTCATGTAAGGGTTGGCCACAGAGTTGGGTTCATTTTAAAACCACTGTTTTATCCGCACGCATCTCTGACAAGTTGTTTACTTGAGATGTCAAGTGCGAGAATGAAGAAAGGGCCAGGGCGAGGGAGTGATGAGGAATCTGAGTGCTGTATTTTCTACTTTAAAAGCCATCCATTTATTCTTTAAAATGCTTCACAAATCTTTAGGACTGCTAATGGTTTTCATAATCAATTAATCTGCCCATTTTTTGGATTGATTATTTTGTTAATAAAAAGGTCAGAAAATAGTGAAACATGCCCTGTATAACTTCCCAGAACCCAAGGTGATGTCTTGGTATGTTTTTATCCAATTAACAGCCCAAAAATCCAAAGCCATTCAGTTTATTATCATGTATGACAAAGAAAAGCATCATATTCTCACATCTAAGAAGCATGAAAGTAGGCAATGCCTTTTTTTTGTCTTTTTTGCCCATTCAATTACTAAAAGGATTATTCCATGATCAAAATAGTTGCAAATTAATTTTCTGTTGATCAATTCCTGTCAAAGCAGCTCTACAAATCTTGAAACCTAAGCAAACAAGACAGCTGTCCAGTTATTTGAGAGCAACCCCTGCAAACAGTAGTAACAAAACTTAACCTGGCAGAAACAGAATAAATTCCAACTTACCAACATATCAAAAAAAATTTCATCAAAGGAGTTACCAAGCTTCATCAGATGTGTAGCGCAATAATTTGTAGTCCTGGACCCTATGTTCCCATGTTTTTCTGTCGAAGTGACGCGTGGGAACAATAATTTTTAAAATTGGTCCAACATTAAGAGAGTGCTGCAGCCGGCAGCGGGTCAAAAGGCTACAATGTAACCACTCGGGACAGGTGTGCCAGTCAACTTAAGTCCACTAAATGTGACTGTGTTTGCCACTGACAGGTTCAGGTTGTTATTAGGAGTGTCTGACAACATTACGGAAAAGGCCCTACAGAAAAATTAAACGTTTTTTGCATACTTTTCGCTTGCTCTGCTCTGTTCTGTGTTAAAGTCAGTCTTGTGGGTTCTACAAGATTTGAGACTTGTCCTATAGTCAGACTTGGACACAAAACAGACTGGAACATGCGAAAGGTACAGAAAAGTGTTTTATTTCTCTGACACTCATAATAACAATCCTGAGCCTGTCAGTGGCAAAAACAAGCACTTCAAGTGGACGTAAATTAAAAGGGTGCACCTGCCCTGGGTTGTTACATTGTCCCCTTTACAGCACTTTTGTTACATACTGTTCCAATTTGAAAAATAGTTGTTTCCAGGAGTCACCAATACACAAAAACATCTGAAAATAGGATCAAAGTTAAAAAAAAACAAAACAAAACAAAAAAAAGTTTCCCCTCACAGAGGCTTGGTGTGTGCCATCTATGGAGTAGGGGAAAGTAGTGATGACCACTAGAGAAAGTTTATTTGCAACTCCATCATCCATCATCAGAAACTGACATCTTAACAGGCACCACTGAAGCCTACAATAAAGTGCTTTGCCAAGATTTTTTTTTTACACACCCAGACTGTACGTCATTAATGTTATAAAACAGGCACTTCCTACCACAAAGGGAGTATCATTAAAAAGGTCTCACAATACCTCCAAAAAACTCAACGATAAATTAGGGCATCAAAACACAAATTGGCCTGACTGAGTAAAACAGCGTCCTGCACTGGAACAATACAGTATGGTTATCCCACTACTAATGCCCTGTGAAAGCTAGCTTTGCAAAGCCAGCCCACACATTTTGATTTGCTCATTATGGTCTGGCAAGGCTCTACAAGCACTTGGTTTGGGAGGAAGAGGCACTGTCAACGGGCAAAAGATGAAAAGTATTCTGCAGGCAATTGGACAAGGCTTTTGGCAGTCAAAGCCGCAAACCAAATATAGTGCTGAATACGAATTCAAAATACAGTATTGCTCTTTGTCATTATCATTTAAACCATATATCCCTATAGTTCCCAGAGTGATCAGGTCAAACAATTCTCGGGGGATGTTGTTCAGAATATCTTGTAGCGAAAACTGGCTGCCTTCTGCAAAGCTGCGGAAAAGCCTAGAAGCATCAACCTTCTAGTTTTGGTTCTGTGTTTGTTTCAAGAGGAGGGGTTTAAGAAAAGTGTTTGTGTAGTGGCGTAATTACCTGTCAAATATGGCCCCAACCTCGGCATTGTGCACCCTGTGTATTCAACCACAATGTGTTATTACAATGTCATTACACAGTTACATTGTTATTGCAGAATTCTGTCTGTTTTCTGTCTGTTTTTAGTCGGTTCTTACACATGATTTCACATGGTGAAAATCTGTGGTGGTAGAACCTTTCTGTTACATTTAAAACTGCTGTAAAGCAGTTTGTATGATGATTGTTCTCGACTCACTGATTTATCTTGCACCTGCACCCAAACACTTAAAGTGATAAATGTGATCCTCTGATAAACATTTGATCAGTTTTATGACATTGTAAACTGTAGTCTTCCATAAAGCACCATTCATAGTGACATATATTAAAATAAGCACAAAGGAGGTTATTATAAATCTTTTGAGCCAAATGCATAACAGCAGGAAAACATTAGTAACATAAAACTGCTCGTGAGTGAAAAACTATAAAAGCTGTAGTTGATAACTTCTGTAAAAATAACTTTTTGTCATATTAGTGTAACAATATCCACTCAGTATTATGTGAGACAGATAGTCTGTGAAAACAATCATTTGCCTCCTCCTTCTTATATTGCTTGTAATGGCATTTGCAAGAATCCACTGCATGTGAATGAAAACAACCAATCAGAGCTGAGGAGTGTTGAATGCAGCTGTCAATCATGTCAATCAGTGCTCATGAACTGCGGTCAAACTAGGCAGCGTTGGACAAACATGAATCAAAATTCTGTTTTTGTGCTTCTCACCGGAATTGTTTTCAGAAAAATATTTAAGTGCACTGTTTAGCTGTAAAATGAGAAAGTTTGTGACCCAGCTGCCATGTTGGAAACAGTTGAGCTGAAACAAATACTGTCCACTGGCTGGATTTAAACTAGACTAAAATATGTTTTTGAAAACATTTGAGGAGAGAAATAGGCAGTGCAGCAACAGACTCTTGATTCATATTTGATCAGCAATAAAACCTGACTGACAGCTGTGTTAGAGACTCCTCGGCTCTGACTGGTTGTTTTCTGTCAGCCACTGTGGACTCTAGTAAATGCCATTAAAGGCATAACGTGTAAGAGAAGTGATATTTTTCACAGACTATCTGTCTCATTAACTACTGTGTGGCTATAGTAACAGTTTCAGTAAATTTGACGAAATTATATATTTTTTAAAGTTACCAACTATAGCTTTAATCCTCAACCTTTAACAAGTGCTCCACACTATTGCCTAGTTCACACTACACGACTTTAGCCCAGACTTTCTGCTTGCCAACAGTTTATGGAGTTCCCTGACAAAAGCCCCTGATCAGCGGCAAATTAGTGCTGGTTTAGTGCTTGCAAATTTGAGCTTGCGCGCTACATGTGTACTGTTCAAAAGTGTGACCTGCGATTCTTATTGATGCATAGCAGATGCTCCCCTGATACCTAGCAGGCTAAATATCTTGACCCTTCAGGGACTTTGTCTGCAAGCTACAGCCAATGAAAGCATAAGACATGGGCTGAAGACACAGACAAGTGTTGCCAGTGTGTGTGTGTGTGTGTGTGTGTGTGTGCGCGCTTGAGAGGGAGAGAAATAGAGGGGAAGAGAAGGTGGAGGGTGGTCTATTGTACGCAAGGTTTCTGTAAGTTATTAGCCTTATCCCTTAATCTAAACGCTGCTTTGTCACTTTTTTGACTTGACATTTTATAGTAACCCTACCTGACACTGGGTTGTGGTTCAACTGGCATATCGCATGACATTTTGTCTGGGATTCCCTTCTAGTGAAAGACCTTGTAGTGTGTGACCCCTTGTCACCAGTCAGTCATGTAGTGTAAAAATAAACACTTCGACACTCCCAATTACAAGTCAGCAAGTTTTTTTTTGTTTTTTTAAGATTATGATCTCTGTGATTTTGTCTTTAATGGCAAGACAGCTGTAGGTACATTGGAAAGGTGGGAGCAGGAGGGGAGATGACAGCAAAGGGCTGCCAGTCAGAATCAAACTTAGACCTGAGCTAGAGGTTGCCCCGCAAGTCAGCAAGTTGTGCAGTGTTAAAAGTAAAACAATCGGGTGACGCTGAAAGTCATGTAGTGTGAATTTGGCTTAAACTGTCATACATCATGGAAAGTAACTTAAAGTCCAACTGATTTTGATAGATTAGATTACATTTTGTGCCTGCTACATTATACTTATATTTATGTCCTGTACATCACTCATCCTGAGCTTTATTTTGAGGGGAGAAATTTATATCTAGTTTTTGGTTTCATGATGGTGCCTCCTAGTTTCGTAATATTGCAGCTGTTCCGGGACCTGTCTATGTTTATTGCGACCTTATCTAATACAGCCAATCAAGTCTTGCATCAAGCAGTGACAATGGCTTTCTATCACAGGCAGAGCAGAGTCACACTGAGCCAGACAGCAGCTTGCTACACAACACAAGAGCCACAGACTTAAAGCAACAACCAACATTTGCTCTCCTGCTGGTATGTCCTTCTTATTGAACCTACAAATACACACATTTCCTACACCTTAGCGTGGTGAACAAAAACATGCTGACATAATCTTGTACTACAAAAAGGGATGACGAAATGTGATTTCAGTTGGACTTTAAGCAAGTTTCACTTAAATGTGGCTAGTGTGTTAAAAAAAAGAGACGCTGAAGTGCACAATACACCATTTAAGAAAACAATTCACAACGCACAAAACAAATCAACATAACAGAAATCAACAGCAACATTTCAGAAAACACAACAAATCATGAAAGGAAGGTGCCTTCTATCTTCGTCATTCTTGTAGTTAATTAGATGGCTAAAATGTCACTATGTGTATGTATGTTGACAAAATGGCAAGGTGTGCTGGCTTTTTTCTGTGTGCATCTGTTACAGGTTGTCGTACGTCCTTTGCTCCTGGATTTGGGGGTATTTGGGTTGAGGAAGATCCCCTTGCATAGAATGACAGAGGTAGTGGGTACCCAACCTTTTAAATTTGTAAAATGTTGAGTTTTCTGAAATTTTGTGTTTTGTCTTGTTAATTTGTGGTCTCTGCAAAAGCTGTTGTGTTGTTAAAGGTTGCTGCACTTCAGGGCCTACTTACATTTTGATATTTTATTATTTACACCCTCCTTGACAAAATATGATTCAGTAGCTTCAAACAGATGCTAAAGCGAAGCTGAAACAAAGGCTGCTGCTAGAAGAGAGCAGTGCTATGAGAAAATTATTAAGTACCAGAGGAAAATCATTGAGCCGTTTGCCATAAGCCCAGTTAGTTTGCTGTAAATCTGACTGGATTTCTAGGAAAAATTGACCCTTTATAACAATGTAATTACTGTGTAATTAACAGTGAATTGACACATTGTGATGTAGTTGGTGTTTTAAATAAAAGTAATCAAGTTGTGGATTTCATTTTTAATCAATGCAGGTGACAATGTAATGAACGGAAAACTGGTCTCAATCGAAGCACTGGAAATTCATTAAATCCTGCCAATACCTACACCTGGATAATGCAATAACATCCCATTATAACATGAACAAGCATTTATTACAGCATATGTAGTGTCACATCTTCATTAAATAACATATAATAAAACAACTATTACCTACCAACAATAACAAAACATGTTACGATTTGAGTTATTTCAATACTGGTTTCTAGTGACATGAAAAATTTCAATTTCAAAAACTTCAATAATTTCAATTTTGAAGTAACAACTGATGGTTGATGTGACAATGCAGATAGCTGGAGAGGCCATGGCTGTAATCATATTTGTGTCTTGCTTTGCTGTGATAATAGAATAACTGCTTCAGGATCTCAAACTAATAAGTTTGTTTCACATATTAAAGTGCATGACTCTGGACTGACAGAGTACCTGTGGCCACCAACCATACAAAAGCCTACAGAAAACACATAAGGGGCAGAACATTAAACTAATTTTAGTCAACTTATTTTACAATGTTGTGACCTTTGATTAGATATAAACACTGGCAGTGATTGCGTCATGTCTGTGGATTACAGATGATTATCAGAATCTTGTGCTTTGAATCTAATGGTCAAAAAATAAAAGTTTATGTGAGGATTAGTGTTGGCCGGTCCGGTCCGGTGTATGAGCTTAAACCGGTTTGATTTTATGCTAACCGGTAAAACTGGCATTTGTCATTATGCCATGTTCTGGCACATTAAAAAGTAGCCTTCATCAGCAACTTGTATTGCATTGGTAATAAGCAGTTTGACAATGTGATTAATTTAATATGCTCGTTTATACACAAACTAACAGAGCCACGAGTGTCTGACAACTATGTGCAATTTATCTGTCAAGCTGAGGCCGGCAACATGAAGGAGGTCGAATTTCAGAAGAGGTGGCAGAGGGAATAGAGGAGCACATTGTATTTGTTTACTAGAAATTTCATGTTTTGTTTTTTTTTCGTCGACGAGTGAGACATGGCACAGTTAGCCTGCATCAATGTGGCGACATTTCAGATTTGAAGCTGAAAAAAAGAGGTGTCCTTGCTGGCTGAGAGCAAGTGAGGTGCTGTTGTAAGCTGAACTTTTGACGAACACTCGGTTTTTATTCAATTCTGTCTCTCATTTTAAAAGCACTGCAATGGATGATGAGCGGCTGATTCTCAGATATTTGGCGGTGCAACTCTATAGTTGGATGCTCGTTCACTGTTGGGATGTGTATTTATGTTCCACTTGGGAGCGGCTGCTCAGTCAAGTGCGACACTGGTAAAATTTGGTATACTGGTCTGGACCAGTGTTTGGCTTAATATCAAACCAGTTTGAACATTTTTATGCTAACCCAATCCTGGTGAAGATTATAATTATTTTATAACAATAGTCATTTTTTCAAGATAAGATCACAAAAACAATTATTCATTTGTCAACAGAAAAGAAAATATTATACCAAAATGTATACCTATGGCCTCTTCAACATTCTGCACAATAATGGGATGTAATTTCATTTATGCATTTTTAAGTATTTTAAGGGATTATTATATATTCACGTTAAGAGTGTACTTTGCCAGCCATTATCACATTAACAAATGCTGCAATAGGTGCTATGCCACTGACTGTGTGTATATTTGTGTGCACGCATGCATGTCTATGGGTAAGCATTAGTCACCAGCCTCCCCGTCATGCGCTGTCACCCTACAGGCAGCACTAAAGAAGCAAAGTCTCTCAGCCACAGCCAACACAGAACACAGCAGCTGCAGCCAGCCAAAGATGAGGACACAGTATCCTAAGTTCTTCATCTAGCTCTTAGGTCTGACGTGGATTTATCAGATGGATTCAGTTCATAAGGAGACTGTGGCCTTTTACCTGGCTTCTCAGGGTGAATCTATTTATGGCTAAAAGTAGGTGAAGCAGCAGATCCATTCTAAGTGAAGTAGGAAAGCCTTTGAAAAAGCACTTAAATCTCATTATGCTAAAATTCTCCAGTAAAACACAATATTGTTTATGGTGGCATGTCCTCTCCAGTTGTGTCAAATAGCCAAAAATCTGAATGCTGGAGAAATCACTGATATGGAATGTTTTTCAGAGCGATATTGTTCGTGCAGATATGCATCTGTGTATTACCTGTCAAAGATGGCTCCAACACCTGCACTGTGAGCACTGTTCCTGTGAACATGCAGGCCAGTGGCCAATAAAATCCCGTCCTTCACCGAGATGGAGCGATGGGAGAACGATGCAATCAGGAGTTCATTCCAGCCTGTTAAAGAGTTAGTGTCTCAATATTTCTATTGAATTCACATGTCTAAATATTCTACTGTTGTGCCTTTTTTTTTTTTTATTTCTTAATACCTAATACGACTGAATGTTCCTGGTCCTAATGAAGCAAACTGAAGATCTCTCATCACATTATTTTGTAAAAACTGATCTTTTCTTAGATCTACCAGCTGAGCCTTACACTTAACTACATGTGACTAATTTTGTTGATCAAACCCTCAAAATTTTTCATTTTCAACACCCATACGAGACAAAGGAAAACTAATACCCAAACACTTAGTTCTCTACTAAAAAGGGACAAAGGTCTCCACCAGATTTCCTGACAATATAACAATAACAACATTCAGGGGATTAAACCTGCACACTTCAATTTCCAACTTAAAAGCCTTGAAAAAATAAACAAACACAAAAACAAATTTATTTAAGTTTATGTTTTCTTGGCAAAGTATCAAAGAATTTGTTTGAAACTACACTTGTTGGCAGTGTAAAAGATTAGATTTGCAGTGTTTGTGATAGTGTCTAATGTTCTTTGAAACAACATTTACATACACAAGACAGACCAAATGCTGTATTGAGAATTATATGATGGTGCTACAGTAGAATATGATAGCACTGGCATTTTACTTTCCCTTTATTTTTGTGCTGTGCGAGTGCAACCTAAAAACTTACTTGCACTTACAAAAATGAACACAGAAAATATCCAGAGTTTAGGGCTGTGACGGTATGGAGTATGAAGTCACCACACTGTAGCATTGAAAGTCCCACCCACAGAACTTGCTGGTTACACGCCACGAGTAATAGTCTATCAACACTGAAAGCTGCCGTGTCATGATTTCAAAAACGATAACTAGAGCTGCCCTGTGAGCGGACTCAAAACTGTGCATCAAACATAAAGGCCCTGACACACCAAGCTGACGGCTGGCTGTCATTTAACTTGGGCTGTCAGTGAGCATCTGTCGCCCTAGTCAGTGCGGTTTGTCCCACACTGTTGCCCTTCGTCGGGCCCTGCTGGTGTTTTTTTTTTTGGCCCATTCCGTATGTTGAATTGGTGTCAGCAACAACAGGCCCATCACTCTGATTGGCATTTTAGTTCAGCACACAAGAAGAGAAATGGGGATGAAGAAAGTAAACAAACAAGTTGAGAGAGATGCCAGAGCAAACTTGCTCCATAAGGTAAGATTATTTTTCTTTGTCTTCTTTTTAACTAATGTCAACGTGGTCTTCCGGTTTCCCCTTTAAATGATGAATACAGACTACCTTCATCTGCTGGTGTGGAGACTGACTGCCTCTCATGCAGAACGTTCATCCTAGTTGGCCGTCGGCTGTACTCTTTGTGGTGTGTTCATGTGTCTGGGCATTAAGACAACAGATGTTACTTAAGTTGTAATAAACATCACAATCCTCTACGCTGATGTTGCAGATGTCCTGCCAATAGTAATGTAGTTACTGGATGAATCTTCTGTTGTATGAGTATGAGAACCGCAAAACAGGAAGAGGGAGCGCGACTATGCCTGGACACCGACAACTAAGACCAGATTATCATTGTTTATAAAAATAAACAATCAATGCACATTCAACCCACGTTGGAATGTCCATGACTCAGCTGTCCCGTCACTTTGAGTAGAGAATCCAGTCTACAGTGTATTTCACGCACTTCACTGATAAACTGGAGAATTATACAGTAAAATTCATGATGTACATGCATATAATGTTCTGTGTGTAGAGCACCAAGCGCCAGCAGGGACAATGCAAAGTTCAATAAAAAATTAAAACTTTTAGATAGCACTGCACCAAGCTGCAGTGATATGTTGCTTTTTCACTTTACTTGCTTTTTTTTGGTATGAATAAATCCATACCGTCACAGCCCTATATGGAGACAAGACAGAGGTCAGAACTAAGAACAGAAGGAAACGCTCACCGATTTGTTGAACCTTTTCGAGGAAGACTTACCTGCACGTAGCAGGATGACCTGGTCGTCCAGGGCTAGCTCAGAGAAGTGAGGGATCCTCTTAGCCCACTCCACCAAGGTGAAGAGCTGCTTATCTGCTGCCTGACAGATGTTGGTGACAGGATCGTTGGGCTGAAGAAAGCAGATTTAGAGGATTATTTAGAATTATTTCATCAATCAACCTGTGTGTGATAAACCTGCAGTCTTTGAGCGAATGTAAGGATCATTATATGCTTTATATACAGCTTATGGCTTATTTCCACCATCCAGACTACTCACAGAGCTGCCACCTGAAGTTCCATCTGCATGAAGCTCTGTCTTCTGCTCTACAGCCATCTCCGCTTCCAATATTTTCTCCACTGGCATCTCCTCATTCACCGCACTAGTCGACTCCACCTCGCCCTCTCGTTCCTTGTTCCTCTGCCGTTCCTCTTGGACAGCTGCAGGACGGGGGATTGGGGTGGACCGAGAGGAGCACAGAGGAAAACAATGAAGGAGAAGAAGGGAGAAGAAGGGACAAAGAGTAGAAAGAGCAAAAAGGAGAAAATGTGGGTGGGAAGGATGGGTGAGGGGAGGTCAAAATGAAAGAACAGAGAAGCAGGAAAGGTGCAAGAGCAAAGGAAATCAAATGGAGATGCAAAAGGTTTGGGCAGGGAGGTTTTTCAGAGAGCATAAGACATAATTAAAGACAACAAGAACCACACAGCAAAAGAAAGAATGAAAGGTAGAGGATGAGGACATGACAGAAGGATTAGTAGGAAGGATGTGCCACCAGACAACAAAATGGATAAAATGCGAGCAGTAGAATCGGGATTAACACAAATGTGTTGACAATTAGGAGAAATGAGGGAGAAAGATTAGTGTAGCAAGAGATTGGCACACAAACAGAAGCAAAAAGAACAGGGGAAAATTAAAAATGAAAATGAATAATGGGTGAAAAAAAAAAGAAAAAAGCACATAACAGTAGAAAAGAAAAAAGACAGTTGTACAATTCATAATAAATTCAAAGTCTCTCATGCTGTCTTTCATACTTCTTGCTGCCACTACCACTGCAGCAATGGGCCATTAAGACATACAGAACAGAAATCATTATTATCAACTATTTATTTTAAAGCAACATTCAGGCAAGAATTATGAAATGTGACATTGATAATCTGAAAGGATTTTTTTTCTTAAAAGAAATCCAAGGTTTTGCTAAACCCCTTACTCAGATTAGGGAAACTATGTCTTGGAAAATATAACTTCAGGTTACTGCTGAATGACAACAGCTATCAGGTTTATTTAAGTGCAATTAATTTCAATAAATCCCCCCGTTTTAAGGTTCTTCGGAAACTCTCCTATAACAGTGTTTCAGACACTTTAAATGAACTTTGTGGGATTTTTATACACAGTAACTGAAATCTTTTGCAGTCACAGGCTAGCGAAAGTCTACCACCCACATACATCAGTAGACAGAGACTGAGGTTATGTAACTGGTTTGGTGAGTCAAGAACATCCCACCGTTAGGCCCTACACACTTGGTTGCTTTGGTTGTATGTTTAGGATCACAGGTCTACTCTGTTCACCAAATACAAATGTAAACACCAGAAAACACCCAAGCTGATAGCTCTGTCATACAACAAAGAATGTCAGTGTCCAAATATGTAAAAATGTCACTGTATTAACCAACTGACATTTTCCAATGAGGTTTGTAAATTAATTAATCTTTATTTATTTATTTTTTTTAAGTTTTGGTCATTTGTTGAATAGCAGCAAACAGAATTTGTGCAGGAGCAGCAACTGTAAGTGATTCATTTATGATTCGAATACCCAATATTTGTGGGTCGTGCTGTGAAAACATCATCTATCCATGGTTTCAACAAAGCCTTTGTCAAGGGAAAAACAAGCCTTTTGTCTTATTTTGATGTTGACTTAATTATTGATCATTGACGTGTCTGTCTAAATATTTAACAAGTTGAATAAATTTTGAATCCTAGTTTGTTTAGTGCACTTAATGTCAAGCAAACACTTTTGAAAACTCTTGATTTTAATCTACTTGATATCATCAATCTGCATTGTTTGGTGTCTGTATTTGATACAGAAAAACAAAAGGCCTGCCAGAGGCCATGGATGGTTAGATGTGAGCTCCTGACAGAAAATTGCCACTCTGAATGTCAAGACTGACTTCAAAATCTTGATGGGAAATGTAATTAACATCTACCCTTCCTCTATAAGCAGTATTCCTAAATAGGAAAATGAATGTCCCTGAACAGAAATGCTCTGTGGCTGACTGTAGCAGCTGTGACCTTACTGGGCAGCAACCAGGTGGGAATAAACACGTAGTTTTACAGTAAAGTAGGATGATGATTAAAAGCAGTGTGCATACTCAGCAAACTTTCCCTTGATCTATCAAGTTTAAAACAAGTTATGGGAAAGTGATTCAAGGCTGGCACTGGTCCACCCCCGAGCACTGGCAACACACTATGGAAAAACATCTTTAACTAGCTCCCTGTCATAGATATGCAATGTAATATCTCTCTGCTTCTCGTTCACTCGTACAGACACAGGCACACACCCCTCCCTCCCTCTTCTCCTTACATCTGTCGTTCATCTTGGCCACTACAGAAGGAGGGAGGGGGGGAGAGAGAGAACGAGAGGAAACAAAAAGAGGAAGAGAGGGGGAAAGGGGGTTAGTGTTTACAAGGCTTACCCACCCCCATCTCCCTCTCTACCACTCTGTACTCATTCTCTCTATCCCCTATTTTACAAATATTACTGACGCTCTCTTAGTTAAAATGCACAGGAAAAATATTAACACTGATATTATCATTTATGACTATTAATGGATTAGGTGTAATTTCATTGATGGGTTGAGGCAGATTACATAGAAAGTATCTGCCACAGAAAGTGGCTGCCTTGAATGTTTCTTTCATCTGCATTAACTTAAGCGGGGCATACACTGGAGGATTTGTGCCTGAAATGTTGTTTAATTTTAACTCCTACTGTACGAGTAAATCATCTAAGATGTAGAGCCAAAGCTCAAGAATTATGTGCACACAATGTACGGTCAAATCGTTGGGCCAGAACCTGAGTGCTCATACTGTACTTGTATAATTTACGATGAAATGGACCGCTGTAGAGTGTTCTGGCTAGGGATGTTCTGATCAAGCTTTTTTGCCCCTGATCACTATTTGAGCCATTCAATATTAAGTATCCGCTAATACCAAGTCCCGATCCGATATTTATACTGTCCTTGATAACACAGCTGCACCATTTCAGCACCGTTCTTAAAATCAATGCAATATACGTATAAGCTTGACAACTGAATAGCTCTTCAATGAATTATGAAAAAAATCCCCAGCATCCAAGCTGTTCCTTAAAAAAAATTCTTTACAAAATAGAATAGTATAAAATAACAAGAACTCTCTTTTGGCCTTGTTGCTGTCTTGAGGGAATGTCTTTATCCCTTTAAGAGAGTACACTCCAGTGTTTTGTTACGTGTTTGTTTTAGTTGTCTGTACAACTTTTGCTTGGATTACATTATCTTAATTGCCCATTTGCTCGCAGGGCTTTTATAAAATATGCCGTGGCATCCTGAGTGTTTGCGGTTAAACACCATGCACCACAGATGACAAACAAGGAAAACACAAGATTGGCTCTCACACTGAGCTGAAATGAAACGAGTGCACATAAATGAGCTAAATAACATAAAACAACCACTTTCATCATTCAGGATGTGTGGTGTTACGCATTGGCGAGGCTCAGCCCCTGCTCTTACACACACAAAGTGGAGAGACTGACAGACAGCAGAGAGTAGGAGAGTTGACAATGGTTGCACTCAGGGATTTGCTGTGCACAAAATCTTCAAGTTTAAAACACCTTTGTTCAGATCGGGACATCCCTAGTTCTTGCTATTTACAATTGTCAATGAAGATTCATTTAAAAGCTCCAAGGCAGGTAGACGTTTGTTTGCTAGCAGAGGTTTGTAACGTTACACCAATACACTTCACAAAAGCGCTGCAAATAAGGGTTATTTTCATAATCAATTAATCTACCGGTTATTTTGAAGATTAATCAATTTATTGTTTAGTCAATACAATGTAAAAAATATATATAAAAAATGCTTATCACTATTTCCTGAGCTCAACGTGCTTCTTCTTTCCAACCAACAAGCCAAAACCCAAAGACTATCATACATTTTCTACATCATACATCATTTACTATCACAAATGACAAAGAAAAGCAACATTTTTTCACATTTGGGAAGCTAGAACCCACAAATGTTTATCATTTTTGCTTGAGAAGTGAAGATTAACCAATTACGACTAATCAATTATGAAAATAGTTGGGGATTAATTTTCTTGGAAATGGATGGAGATTTTCTTTCCATCGACTAAGTGATTAATGGACTAATCGTTGCAGTTCTAGTTATTCACAATAATGTATGACTGCCAACAATCCTCTTGTTCATGTCGGTTGTAAAACATCAAAGAGGCACGTATGCTGTTGCCACAGCTTGACCAACCTTGCCTAGATATTTTGCATCCATGTGAAGTGTCGTGTCGCCATGGCACTTTGCCCAGGGCCAGTGAGAAAAAAAAGGCACTGATCTTGGGGAATCAACTCGTTGCTCTGCTTCAAGTGTGCAAGAGTCTAATGATGGCCAACCAAAATGAATAACTGATCCCAATGTCCCATGGCGGGTCAGATGTAGTTGATCTGGCCATGATCGGTCCTTGCTTCCTCCTGTACACTGTACGACAAACAACCTCTGACAAAGCTGAAATTCGGTCGTACTCTAAAATGAGTCACACAGCTCAAAAATTGGGTCAGAGACAGGCTGACATTTGATTGTGTATGCCGAGCTTAATAAAAACAGTGACCAAAAATCTCTGCAATTTCTTGAACAAGAACTGAGTTAAGACTAAAGCATCGTGATATGCTAGGGGATTCAGCCCTCAGACAATTTTCCAATATGAGAAGCACAATGTGCAGTACAGTAAGCTCTTATCTACACTACTCACCTCAAACAGATTTAGCAGCAGATAATCTCAGACTGATTGGCCTAAAATGGATTTAACACAATTTTCTTCTTAAGATGCTGGAATGATGTTACATAGAGATCAGTTGTAGTTTGTGAGTGTACCTGTTTACTTTTAAATACAAAGCACTTTGAGTATTACATGAATAAAAAGGAGCTACATCACTTCATCAACACTATCCCTGTCACTAATATAATTATGACAAACTATGAAATTATTGGGTGGTAAACTCAGGCAATTTCATGATTCTGACAAGAGTTTTAAAGTTTGATGTTTAATTTTAAACATACTGGGAATGTAGTGAAAAGTGTTGCAGTTTAATAGCTGCTAATGAAACACACAAGTGGAATTTGTGCTTTTAGACTGCTAGAAATCATTGGATGTATTTACTGGTGACTGATGGTACCCTGAAGACAGACACCAGGTAAATATGACATGGTTTCATGATTCTTCCAATTGACATGGATTGCCAAAACACGACACTTCACAGTGCCTACAAAAAGCAGAATCACTGCGGGGAAATTTAAGAGTTTTGACATCGATAGTCAGCAAAAAGAATAGAAATTTCATCGTAAAAACATGAAAAAACTGCAAAGGGGGCAGTGGATACCTTTTGGGTTCTACAGAAATTAACTGAGTTCAATGGATTACACGATATGAAGGATACCGTACATTAGTTTTGTCACCCAGTTTGGGGAAAAAGAGGATTGCTGTTTCTCTACACATTTGGAGGAGCCTTTGGAAAAGGAGACCCATAATGTGTCCAGCACTGAAATGGTGAGTTTGAATGAGTCAGACCTTGAGCTGGGAAACAGTTGGTGTGTTTGCAGGAATTTGTCAGCCCAAAGAGAAGTTGGCAAAACTAACCCTAACCCCTAACCCTAAATATGAGTACTGGGCTATTTATTAGTAGTGTCAATGACACTTGCCAAACATGAACCTGATGGAGAAAACAAATCTGTTCTAGCTCCAGAGACATAGAAATTAGCCAATAAGTCAACATCACCGCTGACGAGTTTTATAAGAGTAGAACCACAACACATTTGGGTTTTTTTCCTCAACTACTGTTGGATGAACCAGAGTTGGAGTGGACAACTCATGACTTTGTGCTGAGCTAAATCGAAGGCTTATCTGTCTATCCCTAACAAATACACCACGGCAAAATTTAGGAAATCTTGTTGACGGCTTTCTGTCAGCTATATAATTATTCTCAAATAACTTATCAACTAAACCGCCTTTAAAAACCAAAATGAAATCATCATTTAATTTTGTTTTTCAGTTTAAATGCATGGTTTGTGCATTTAAACCTAAAATTGTGTGCATGGAAAGGTGAAATGGCCTCATTTTTAGGGGTCATGAGCAAAAAGGGCTGAGAACCAGCCCAGTGTGCTGAAGTGCTCCTGCTTGCTCACCTTCTCTTTTCATGCCCATGGCCAGGCACTTCTGGTAGCGGCAGTACTGGCAGCGGTTCCTCTGTCTCTTATCCACCATACAGTCTTTATTGTCCCGACAGGTGTAGGTCAAGTCTTTGCGCACTGTGCGCTTGAAGAAGCCTTTACAGCCTTCACAGCTGTAGACACCGTAGTGCTTACCTGGAGGGCGTGGGAAGGAGGGAGGAAAAGAGCCGTAGAAGTAAAACAACAGGGATGAAATTTGTTTTAATTTAAGTATCTCAGGGACTCTAAATTATTTGTACTTTATGGCCCGAACTCAAAGGTATCGCAAAGAAAACTTGTGTTAGATTTAAGCTGGCTAGTCACCAGAGGATCTGTCTCCGCAGATGGAACAAAGGCGTTTCTGGGAAAGCATTGGCCCTGGGCTGTGGGACGACAGCTGCTTCAAGCCCAACGGAGGTTTCACGTCATCTGAGCTGCTCACTGCATGGAGCCCTGACATGGACACTGTTGAGTTGATCTGAAAGAATAATAGAAGAGAAGGTGAACATAATGACAACAAGGAGTTTTTTAGAGGATTTTCCTGACTATCCTTCTACTGCTGTAAGAAAGTAAAAGACTTTGTTTATATTGTCACAAAGACCAAACAACAAAGCATCACAGTCAGAGTCAAGTATGTACCCTTTGTTTTTACTATTTTTTTTTTTTTTTCAGTTCCCCGAGCTAGGCCCTGCCTCACCTCTTATATTACTCTTTGAGATGAGGTAAGGTCTTAAAAACAAAACTCCTGATATCTGACACGTAAACATCAAGGTAAAGAGAAAAAGTGGAGTGGGGGCAAAACCATAGTAACAAAGATCTGTAGCAAAGTATCAATGGTCTCATATCAAAGACAGACATAAAATGACAGCCATTCTGTCAACAATTACAATACTAAAATATTTAATTAAAGATACCATTTTTTTTCAATGTAATTTATTTGATATTTCATTGTAATATAACAGGTCTTGGATTAATAATCGCTTTGGTTGTAGCAAGCAACAATCAAGATAATCTTAAACTGTAAACACACTGGCGTTACAGCAAATCGTATGATATAAAACAACTGCATGGGCAGAAATGTATGTTCAAATAATATTCCTGCAGTATAAGTCCTTCCTTACCTGTGGGCTGCTGATGGGGCCGTAGCCCACCGATGGCGTGCCAGGTAGGCATGGCGAGCCCAGTGAAGAGCTGATAACAGAAAAGGGGGAGCCGATGCTACTGATGGGGCTGTTGACTCCAGTGGTGGTGATGGGAGGCAGGGAGGTCATGGAAGCTGCAGCTGAGGGAACCAGTGGAGGTGAGCGCTGTCCTGATGGAGGGGAGGACACAGACGAGCTGTCTGGGCTGCGGGAATCTGATAAGAGACAGCAAGTGGGAGAACACGCAAATAGCTTATGTAATCATTTATAAAAAATAATGTGGTGCAAAAAAGGCTAAGCTTTTTTTTAATAAAGGTAATACATGTGTGATACAATGATCATTTTTAGTAATTCTCATGCTCAATTCAAATATGGTAGGTCAATTATCAATCAAATACAAGCTGTAAAAATATTAATAATGAACTGGCACAGACTAAAACTGATATAAAACCAATAGTTGCAAAAATATTAATCTACCCGTAGTTAACTTCTACCAAGAAGCCTTGCCTTTTGCCACTGTATGTTTTATTTTTGTTTATAAGGAACTGTTGTGTCTTAGGCCTTTACCATTGAGTTTCAATGGTAGAGTGAGTTCAATCAAATGTTGCAGGTTTGCAGTATTTTTAATGCATTCTACACTTTATACTGAACAACTAGGGCAAAGATTTGGTTGAGTAGTTATTCAGTATTTCAGGATTTATCATCATTTTTCACACAGCACCTGAAATTAGGTTTACCAGAGATGTGCATTTACTCTATCTAATCTGACTGCCGTGCAATCATGAGGAAGAAATTAATTTCAGTTTCTAGTAGCCTTTCTTTGGATCTGTGATCTTTATCTGGTGGAACTTTGATCTGATTTTATGATACCAAATGGTTTATTTATTTATTTTTGTTTATGCTGTGGTTTGTATTGTCTTGGCTTTTCTCTGCAGCTGCCTGTGTGCTGCATTTTCACTGCTTCAGGCTGTGTACTTGGTTGTTGTCTGATCTAATCTTTTTTTCTTGCATCAAAAACACTCTGGAAAGAAATCAACCAATCATACGCTCACACAAATTACCCACTGTGGTCCATGGAGGACTGTGCTTGCAATATCATGTGAACACTTATCAACTGAACAAACGCAAGGAATCATGCTTTTAAATGCTGATGATGTGTCTTTTTTCCTCAGTTTTAATTTTAGGTATGTTTTCCTTACAAGACTCTGTCAATGTCTGACACTGGTGGAACACATTTCATCAAGTGCTCTGAATAGGCACTTGTAAGGAATAATGACTTCATAATGAGATGAGTGAAGAGTCCTCTGTGGCCAAGCCAAACATGTTGAGTTCGTCATTAACACTGGCATGGTTTTCCATTACTTTGCTGGTGAGGAAAGAGAAGTTTAAAGCCTGCTGGTGCAATGCTGATACACTGCCCTTATGATACTGTATGGGGTTTTTCAAGACAGTCACAATAAGAGACAGCAATATTAAAGCTGGGGTAGACAGTTTTATTTTGGTGTCACTGGGCAAAAGTCCCATAATAAACTTTAAGAATATTGTAATTCCAGTGGATTGAGAGAAAACCAGACCTCAGCATAACCTCCTGGCTCTGTTTTCAGGCCTTAAAAAATCTAGCCCATGACTTGAGACTCTGGTCAATCACAAGTCAATTGAGAGAAAGGGCGCTCCTATTGGCTATTCTACAAATGCAGATGCGTGTGTATGTCCCTTTGGTGAAAGCCTGATTCAATGGCAGAGAATCCTACAGAGAAAGCTGCTATCCCAGCATTGGCAACAACTGTCTACACTGCAAAGGAACCCAAAAACGGAGGACTGACTTATCAAAAAGAAAGTCTAAAAGAGAGACAGACATTTAACGCAAGAAAATGCATGTCAATATTGATGAAGCCTTTCAGAAATGGAGAGAAGATCATGCTGATAGTTTAGCTTTCTGCTAACCAGAGCCAAAGGCTCACAGCTGTGGCTTCAAATTCACCAGCAGCTCTGAAGACAGACTCCCAGCCAACCACCATGGAAACCTGAATCTAGCTAGTGCAAACCCCAGCTCCAGCGGACCATAATGCTCCAACTCCCTGCCATATCAGCAACCATTCCATTGTTGCCATTACACAGGTTAGACCCAGCACTGCTGCTGGCCGTTTTTAAGCCGATACACCTGCTGACCTTCAGTCGGTCTCCAGAGCTGCTGCCTGTTCTCTTCCCAGCAAAGCAGTTCACAGCAGGTGGGATCAAGGCGGAAGGACCATGGGGTGGCTACCTATTTAATTCTTAACAGGTGAGGAGGGGGTGAATGGATGTGCTGTGTGCAACTCTACAATGAAATAAGATTAAATAAATCAATGTATGGGAAACACCGGGTTACTGTATGAAGCGCTTGCATATGCCCATGATTGTCTGGTGGGGTGGGCTTAGGACAGAGAGGGGAGAGCTTCAGGAGGAGGGTGTAGTTTCAAATTCTGACTTTCTTTTATTGCCTTTTTTTGCCATCTTAGAACCTTCCTCAGCTCTAGGGTGGCATTTCAAATAAACAAATGATATTAAAACATACTTTGCTTTAGAGAAATAGCAGGATGGTAGTTTGGACAACTGACCCTTACTGACTTAGTTCAAATAAGCTCTGCAAGACAGAGAGGTCTAAACAGGTCAACTGTGCCAGCTGTAAGGCATGTGTTTTTAAAAGCTAGGATATTTTATCATGAATATAGGAGTTGAGTAATCCTTTGTCTGCAACAACCCACATCCTCCATATGCCTGATTTTACACCAGTCATGATAGCAAATGTGTAAGTATAATTTGCAAAGATATTGTTAATATCAACATTACTTTCCAGATGCAAGTTTTGGTCGGCACTCATGTTGTTGCATTGCTGATGACAAAATCAGTGCAGTTATTTTCTCACCTCTGCTGTCTCCCATGATGGTGGCTGGGGTACGGGGGTGGCTGGCAGCAACACACCGTCAAGCTTCCGTCTCAAACAGCCCGCTATCAAACTCTAGACCGCGGACTGAGGCCCGGGCCGGAGTTGTTTTGGGAAACCAAAAACGGGTCTGAAATTCCAACAGAAGAAAACGCTCAGCATAAGATAATGATGTGGCACAGAGAATGCCCGTTTTGTCACAAATAATGTAAAACAAAAACTAATACCCCCCAGTCTGTTGCAATGTTATGAGCTGTCTGTATGCTTGTCAATAGAAATATGTGTAACGTTATTCGATGCATTTTTTGGCATTTGATGTAACGTTATAGAAGGACTTTGCGAAGCAGTCAGCTGCTAAACTGATGCCTTCTCAAATACACCAGGTTATTAAATAAACAACAGACAAAAAATTAGACCAAACACTGATTATGTTAACTTGGTCAACGCACTAATGAAAACGTCCCATTCCACTAAATAGCTGGAGCCCAGACAGATGGCAACAAACCACCGTTCCTGCAAGCTAACGTTAGCCATTGCATAGCTCGTAAACTGGCTACCGTTGATAGCTAACACTTCAAATGTCTGTGCCTACCTTACAGCTAATGTGTTAGCTTGTGTTAGCTACCCTCTTCGAACATGCACCGCAATGTTGTTACAGACCACAGCATGGCGCTTAAGGAAAACGGGTGTTTAACGTTATAATTTGGCAAAACTGCACTGTCTAGTGTTGACTGCTAAAACAAGCTAAGCGCTATAGCTAACTACGTTTAGCCACCTAACCTAGCTAGCAAGCTAGTTAGCCCGAATGCACCGGAGAGCTAGACAGAGAAGAACAGACCCGTTTACTACTGGTTGTTCCACCTATATCTCATTCGTCTACACATAAACTCGCTTAATGTTGTAAATACATATTGGGTGCAAATAAATACGGATTACTGACGGTTTAGCGGCACAGCTTCTTCGCATGAAAAGATGTGGCGACTAGGCCCCGTGTGTGTCTGTTTCTCCCCCCACTTTGCCTCGTAGTCAACCCTCCCTCCCCCTGCAAGGATGAAAACATGATGATGGTGGAGGATTTGGCTTAGTGCTCTCTTACACTTTAACATTGGCTCAGAATCACTGCAAAACAATGCAGACCGGCTTCTCAAGGCAGGAGAAGGGTTATGTGTGGTCATGTTGTGTCTCACATGTCACTGAGTGACGGAGACGCATCCAGTGCACGAGGTCAGGAGGTCAAGACGAGTTCATCTCGGTATGTCATTTGTTGAAAAGGTTATTGGAGGGCAATGGCGCATTGGTACTTCTGCTGCAGATGGGAAACAAACCAGAGGTACAGCCCTGTAGATATGATCTTTACATCTTCTTTTTGCTCATGAAATATGCAAATATTTTTTCCATGTTTGCAGGAGGCAGACATTTACAGCACAGACTGATGGCTGAAAGATGAGGGATCCTTTATTACTTAAGGGGTCAGAGCCTAATTTTTCTTTGAGGCAATATCAAGAACAGACACATCAGTATATTGGGTTTGCAATTGAATGTAATGACCACATTGGTTTTCAATGCTTAGGGACTGTTTGTTATTTATGACAGGGGAGAGGGTGGTGCAAAACTGGGGTGGCATGTCAAATAATTTTTTAAAGCACTAGGGACAGACTTGTTTTTTTAAATTTTGTTTTAGGGAGGAGACATACAACTTAAAGTGGTTGTATTTTGTATTTATTTTGAAATACCCTCTGAACCCCAAAACCTGCTGGCAGGTTTGAAAGGCATGTTTTCTTTAGTGGCCAAAATTACAGCATTTATCATGGCCAAAAACTGTAAAAACAGAGGCATAAAATAGTGTTATTTGATCAATTGTCTACATGTCTCATTTAAAATTCAAATAAGAATAAACATTTTGCACTAACCAGATAATGTAAAAAACATTAAATTATTCACTCCTGCATGCATGACGTATATAGTAATTGCCAAACATGGTAATTTATAGTGTATGGAGGGTCATATGCAAAGAACAGGCCCTAACATTAAATTTAATTTTACATCAGGCAACTGTGCACCACTGTAAAATAATAAAAACTTTGAACCCAATTATTCCCACAAACAAATACTGGGAATTTCTATCAAGTTGATACAAGGTGGTTCTGTTTACTGTATTTATAATACTGCATCACCTTGAAAAATATTTGCACATTTGCACAAACTGAGATTTATTAATTTTAAGTATGCTTTAATAACATTATTGTCATCACTTTACTTTAGTACTTAATATGAATTTTGATTTTGTTGCTTCTCTCATCATTTGACATAAAGGTTGCACTGAGAGTGTTTAGGTGTTATAAATTTTATTTTAGCATTACTAATGACAATGATTAATAATCAAAAACATATGAATATTATGAAGTTTGTTTTGCATCATCTAAGTTGTACGCACACTGCCCAGAGCTTGTTTGTCTGTAGATAATTGCAATGATGAATCAAAGTATGTTTCTGTGTTCACAGTTTAGAGATAGAGAGAGAGAGAGAGAGAGAGGGAGAGAGAGAGAGAGAGAGAGAGAGAGAGACTTTTGCACATTACAACTGACATTATTTGGGGGGCTAGTTCCTAGTGGCTGAAGCTCTAGCAGGATTTTTGATGCTTTATCCCCCTCATGAGGGCAGAAATGGCATTACACAAAACCCATGCACCCTAATTTTTCTGGAATTCTCTCCATCTGTTTAGTATAAATACACAATTTTATCTCAGTAAAAAATCAGAGATAATTTATGAAAGACTTGTGTTTTTCTTTTGTATTATGAGGCAAAGTAGGCCTAATTGATCAGGAAGGTATAATTATCACTTTATTAGTTAAACCACTTAGTAATAACTAGATTTTATTTTAAGTCTTATGAATTAATCTAACAATTTAGGTAGAAATAAAACAGTACAACCCATTACATTTACTAATTGGCATTTGTAACAGACAAAAGCACAAAAACTGGTTTTGAGAGTTTATTTATTTATTTTTGCATTTATATGACAACAGTTTCAATATTTAAACACACACACATTATATAACACAAGATGAGTGATACATAAAAGCAACATTTTGGATGGAGCCCCTGAAATTGTGCAATACTGTGAATTAAATGGTTGAGGATTTAATTTTAATTTCCCTTTTTTCCTACTGAAGTGTGTCAGCATTTGGCCAATGACACATTTTTGATTTTTTTTTTTTTTTTATCTTTGGCTCTGTTCTCCTGCACACTGGATTTAAAGATCAATCATGACATACTATGCATCCATGTCAAACTACATGTTTTTTCCTTTCCCCTTAAACTTTATAATTAAAATAACTGAAAATTTTCCATTAACTTAAACTGAGTTAATTATAATATGAGTATTGCAGTTGCAAATCATTTGCAGTCAGTTTCTGTCTGAAGTCTGCAACCCACAGACATCAGCAGACACAGTCATTTTCAAATTTTTTTTTTGTATTGGATCTGGTACTCAGCAAGTAAAACACATGCTCAGTTTGAGTGTAATCACATTCTAATGTTCGACCCTAGAAAATATCTGGTTGCATTGTATGTTTGGGATCATTATCCTGCTAAATTGTAATAAAATTAAGGGTCTACATATAAGAAGAAACATGATTCCCACACTGCTAATAATCACCCAACATGGAAATAAACATTAAGAAATGAAACCTTAAAGTCAGCCCTTTAAGCTCATACTCAGTGTTTCATTTCAAATCCAATGAGCTGAAATACAGAGCAACAAAAAAAATATGTCACTGTCCAAATATTTGAACCTGCACTGTATGTGCATGTCTGACTGCATGTGTGTGTGAGTGCTGTGTGAGGGATTAGCCTCAGTGTGTGTCCACCAGTGATTAGCCTGGTCAGTGGGCCTGTTGTGCATTCACTCAGGCCATTAGCATATTAATGCAGCCTCGCTCTTGATCTCCCTCCCACCCTCCTTCTCCCACTCTCTCCCTCCCTCGCTCTTTCTCTTTCTCTATACATATTTCCCAGAATGAGTTGTCGCTTCCTGCAGCTTCAATCTATAAATATCGCCAATTTACGCCACTCGTGCTGTGAAGCAGCGGAGTATTTCGCCACACAAATTTCAAGGTGCCTGGTCTTCTTTTTCCCTCCAAAAATGTCCTCTTGTGCTCTTCTCTGTCCTCCTCTCTCGCTCTCTGTCGGATCTTTGCCTTCTTTTTCATCCTGCTCACCGTCTCTCTCTCTCCCTCTGTCTCTCTCACCGCCTCATTCAAACCCTTTACTTTCTCTCATTTTCCCTTTTCTCTCTCCAAGTCTGGCCCCCTGAACTTTGTCAAACACAGGAAAAAACACACAGAGGCAAATTCACAGGGGCAAACACAGAGAGGGTGAGTACACACACACAGACGCACACATACACACACACACACACACACACACACACACACACACCTCCCTCCCCCCATTCACTCTCCCTTTCTGTCACTCTCACCCCTTCCACTGCAAATTTAGCAAGGCCCTCTCTAGACACCGGCGCTGAAGTGCGAACCGGACACATTCAACTGTACTTAACATGGTGAGAGCAGCCCTTTCTGCTCCGCCAACACACTCTAACCCCCTTTTCAAAATGGAACGCCCCTGATCTGCAGAGCCGGGCCTGTATTTGTGTCAGGCTTTGCACCTCAGCAGGAAAATTAGAATTAAAAGTAGAAAATAAATGGCATTGACAGCTGGGCTATTCGTTCCTTTCTCTTCCTGAGAGCATCAAATCAACGATAAGCCTGTTAAAACCTGCTGAACCTAAGCTTTTTCACATCAGAGTGAAAGATTTCAATATCTTTTACATTTTGGAAAAAAAAAGATTTGAATTTAAGTTGTGTGAATTGCCAAATAAATGAATGGACTTCCTCTTTACTGCTCATCACCTGCTGTCGCTGTCCAGTGCCATTACCTTACAAACCAATAATGACATTAATTTTGCATCAGCCTGTAACTGCTCCGTACAAGAAACCTATGCTTTCATTACACACCTGAAGAGCAGAGATGACCTGTTGTTCTGTCACGAGTAAAAACTTTCAACAGAAAGATTTTACAACTTGTAACAATTCTGGTCTTGCTTGGAAGAAAAAGTTGAGCTGACCTCCAAAAATGTCAAGAGAGGCACTTACAGGCTTTACATTTACATAAACACACACTCTCCCTTATTCAATATCTCCCTCGCTCTCTCCCTCTCTCTGTTTGTCTTTCACTGTCTCCCGCTCATCCACCCACAAAGCCACTGAGTTTTATCCCGTCCATGGTGGTCTGTCCCTCGCTGATTTTCAGAGGTCAGGGGCGTGATGTCCATCCACAACTCCTGGTTTCACAAAGGCAGACGCAAGAATTGCGTTTGGACAATCAGCTCCGGACCTCCATCCTTCTCTTGGTTATTGGTATGTTCACACACTCACAAACACTTGGATGGTCAGGTTGATGGCCTCTCATGCTGGCTGGTGATGCCAGAAAGGGAATGTTGCAATTCCATCCAAATATCACTTCCTCCATCTGCTGAAGTTCAGTATCATATTGGTGTCTGACCTCCAGCTTGCCTCATGTCAGTGCCTGTGGATGTACAAGAAAGAAAAGGATGGTTAGAGCAGAGCAGAGGAATGAGCGGGAAGGCAAGCACAGAGAAAGAAAGACAGAGAAAAGAGAGAAGGAGAAAGCTCTAACTCATGCTTGTCCTCTGTGTGGGTGACACCATGATGAACGAAGGGGTCACCACCCGGGGGCAGGCCCGTCCAAAAGGAGCCGGCGATGTGACCCCGTACAAAAGAAAAAGTGGGTCCCCCAACGGTCAAACGGATCAAAGAAGACAAAAGCCTGAGATGATAACTCAGCGCAGCAGTAGAGCGCATTATCATCAGACACATGAGCTGCAGCAGTAGTAAATTTAACTGAGTTGGAGGCAGGAGGGTGGGAGGGGGAGAAAAAAACCTGAAAACGAAAAAGTAAAGCTCTGACTCGCCCTAATCTGATTTGCCGTACGCAACATTTT